CAGCCGCCGCGCGCGAAGCCGGCGGCGGGCGCGCCGCCGCGCGGCAGCAGGCGCGGCAGGGTGCCGCGGAACTCGAGGGAGCGCGCCGCGAAGATGCGGACGACGCCGTTGGAGCAGGCGACCGCGACCTGGCCCGGCGCGGCCGACAGCGCGAACGCGGCGCGGACCTGCAAGCGTGCGTGCGCCGGGATGTGGGGTGGCGTTGACCGCGCGCTTGCCTGATGGTCCGAGGCCAGCAGTTTGCAGCCGGTCCAGATAGGCATTGATCGGACACCCTGTACACCGCTGGCAACCTCAGCCATCCAAGATACTCCAGCATTATTGTCCGCTAGCATGATGGATTGTATGATTAGACGGTTGGTGGCGCATAATCTCCGCTGAGCGCACCTGCAGGTCGACAGCCTTGTCGGGCATGCGCGCGGTCGCCCGCATCAGCACCAGCACGCCCGCCGCCGTCAGCGCGTACACCCCGCAGCTGCCCGGCAGCTGCCCGGCCGGCGCCGGCGCCGCAGCGACGGCGACGAAGGCCGCGGCGCGGTGGTCCTTGAGGGTCACCGGCTTGGATGTCAGGACGAGGCCGCCGCCACCACCACCACGAGCGCGGGCGCCTGCTGCAAGGGGCGCGCCACCGCTGCTACCAGAGCCTTCAGAGATCGCCCACACCTGGAAAACACGCCACAATAACGAGGCACGCCGTTGCGCAGAAGCAAGGATTTGAAAACAGGCCCTCGTTTCACCATCCGACATGGCCGCTCCGCAGAGAAACACCCAACACCGTCCAGCTGCAGCTGCTGGATGTGCGCGTGGCTGCGCCGCCTGCTTCAGGCGTCCAAACCCTACCTTGTACGTGCCCTTGCCCGCTGCTACAAGGTTGAGGCCGTCCTCCGTAAACACGGCAGCCGCCGCCTCGCCCTGCAGCCCCTGCCGCGCCAGCAGCTGCCCAGACCTCCAGTCCCAAAGGCACACCTGGGCGTGCGTGAGGAAAAGGGAAAGAATAGGGCGGAGGGGGAGCTATGCTTCGAGGAGATACGATCAAAGGGGGACGCGCCACGCGCGCTACCTGCGGGGTGGGCGTGCGGGCACTGGCCGCGTGCGGCGTCGGGTCTGGCTGCGGCCTTCGCACCTGCCCGTCATGGGAGGCGCCCGTGCTCGCCAGCAGCTTGCCTGCATTGCGAATGTGCGAGGAGGAGGAGCTTTTCAGGTCCCAGCTGGCCCAGGGAGGGCGGCGAGGCTGGTGTATGAGCGGAGTGTGCGAACATGCGCACGCCGCGAGCGTCCCAATTTCGCGCCTCGGCCGTCGCGCCGCGCGCACCATCGGGCGAGAAGCAGAGCGACCCAACGCCGTGCCTGTGCTGGCCCCTGAGCTGCTGAGTGCATGCGCCGCTTTCGGCATTCCAGATATGCACTGTCGCTGCGCCGCCGGCCCCAGCCGCTTCGCCCGCCACCAAGTGGCTGCCATCCGGGGACCACGCCACAACTGCCACAGGCCGGCTGGTGGCTTGCGAGCGGAGCACGGATATCTGCCGTCGTGCGGCGGTGTCGTACACCACAACGCATGAGCCCGCTGGGAATGCCGCCAGGTGCTGCTGTGCTGTCGGTGCCGGGCACAACGCGAGCGTGCCGGCGCAGGGTGTGGAAAGCCCGAACACGCTTTCAATCTGCACATGCTGCTCAGCTGCTGTCGAACCCCCGTCAAGCCCCATTTGCGTGTTGCCCGGGTCGCCTGGGGTGCGGTTGCTGCGAGGACCCGGATCTCGCATGGCTGGCGCCATTAGTATCAAGGATTTGCGCACATCGTCATCATCGAGAAGCCTGCCGCGCAGACTGAGCTAGAGCTGCCCAGATCACGTGTTTGAAATATGGGTTTGCTGTCCACGCTGGACACTGTGTGGCATGACGAAGTGTGCGTCAATCCGCATTGCAACAGCTACGGTACCTATGAAACGGTAGCATGCAGCCACAGTCGGCGGACGGCACGCTCATCGCGAGCCAGCGGGGGCTGACGGCAGGCGACCGGAACCGGGAAACGCACCACTTGGGAATGTGCAACTGTTGCGCTTTTTCTTCGTCCTGCAAAATCATTTAGTGGTAAGGTTGCCAATGGCTTGTGTTGCGCCATTCACAGCGAACCCATGAGGCCTGAAGGCGGCGGCGGCGGCTGGGGGCATCCTGCGTTGACTGGTTTTTCGCGAGGCGTGTATGAGCGGGCCAGCCGTGCATATCCATTTGTGAATCCATAGCACATGGGCAAGACTGCTTTGACACAAGGTGATAGGGATATGCAAGTTGATGAAGCTGGCAAGGTCAGCTCATTGACCGTGCTGTGGGGTGGGGTACTGCCATGAGTGCATCTGGCTGCCAGCGGGTGCGCAGAGTGTATTTTGAAGGTGATTGAGCGGCTCGATGTTGAATGTTTACCTGGTGCAAGCTCCAAGAGTTCGTGGCATGCGCTGCGTGATCGACCTGTGCCGCTCCGGCGGTATGTGGCTGGGGAACTAACAAGCGGCACCTGAGGCAGGCTCGCTGTCCAGACCCGCACCCCATGGACACATCGACATGGTGGCCTGTGCATTCGCCCTCAAATAACGCGTCTCAGTTTGTGTGTTGACCGAGATTGTTGCGAATCACCTTTAAGGCATAATTGTGCAGCGCCCATGTCATCACTGCGGCTGTTGGAGAGTCTCATTCGTCCCTGCAGTTGCCCACTCCATGCGGCGCCGCGATCCAGTGTTACACCCGTCCTCATGCGCAAGTCTTGGCCCTAGGATTTCAAATTCATTCAGAAGAGCTGCCATCTTGTCGTAAAGATGTCCCGTCGCAGTGGTCGGTATGTGTCATCGCTCCGCCGGCCATGAGCCGTGCCTCATCATGATGATATCCGCGGTGCTGATATTTATGCTTGGATCCAGCAGCGTTGCGGCCCAGGCACCAGCTGAACCGGCGGCAGCGACTCGGACGCCCGCAGCACAGAGTGCCAGCGCGAGCAGCGCGAACAGGCTGGGCGCGGACAACGTTCCAGACGCAACGCGCATCGTTCACACCAATGTGAGCGCACGCTTTACAGCATCCACCTTTGTACGCATGCGCATATCACGGTGTGCCTGGCGGTCTGCATCGCGCACGCACGCTCATCGCCACGAACGGGTTTCTGGCAAAGCGCCCGCCGTGCGCGGCACACCGGCGCCCGCCACACGCGCGGATTGCCCTGCTTCACCGCAACCCCGCAGCCGCTGCGCACGTGCATGCGCGTCGGTCCGCGCCCTCGGCCCCTCGCATCACGGCTGCAGCCTCATCTCAACAGGTCGAAATGCACAGTTCCCTGACGACAGAGTCGGTCACGCGAATCATGCTGGCCAACAACGTCACCAGTGAGTCGTGGTCCATAACCACCTCACCGTCCCAGCAGTGGATTACACTTAGGGGCCTTGCGCGGCAACCTGGGGATGGTTTCCGCCCTGAGTGGTGTCACACTCGCGTTGTTATCTTTGCAGCTCGCCGTGTCCTGGCAGGCTCCCGCTTGCCGCTGCCCCGCCCGCCGCGGCCCCGCCCTGCGGCCACGCCCCAGCAGCGCCAGCCCCGCGAACCCCGCCCCCGCCGCCCCGCCCGCAACGCCCATGTGCGCCGCCGCCCGCGCCCGCGCCCCGCGCAGTGAGCCTGGACAGCTGCCCGCCAGGTTCCCGCGTTTACGTCATGACCCGCGACCTCGTCATCACCACCATGCCGGGCGTCGAGACTGCATGGTTTGACTGTTCCTTCCTTCCGGCGCGCGCGATGCTCAACCGGACCCTCACGTTCAGGGGCGTCGGGGTCGTCAATTGCCACACGGGTGCGTGTTAGGGGGCGAACAACGACACCGGGGGCGGCCCCGCGCGTCCGTCCCGGGGCGAAAGCGTGCGGGTCAGGCGTCGGCGGCCTTGGCGAAGGGCCGCGCCGCCGCATGCAGCAGCAGCAGCAGCTGTGGCCCTTTCCAGGCCGCAGTGGGGCCGCAGATGCGTGCGGGACGCTGCATCCTCGTCGTAAGTGGGGGCGATGGCGGGCGCTGTGCCATTAATTGGTCCAGCCACCACCCCCTCCCTCAGCGCCACCGCCTCTCAACACGCGTGTCTGCACCGCGACACGACCCCGCCCCCAGACGCGGTCTTGGGCTACGTCGAGCTATACAGCGGTGGCCACCTCATTTTTGACAGGTGCGCGGCCCTGCGATCGAGACTGTCCCTGGGGTACTCGCGCCGTCTGAACGCGCGCACCGGGGGCGCGATGAGGGCTCAGCCCCGCACTGTCGGATGCGAGCAGCGGGGCCTCTATTTTGTGCACAGTCAGCGCCACACCCCCTAGGTCGGAGCAGCCGGCGGCACAGGGAGGGGCGGCCCGACGCAACCTATTCACACTCACAAGCCCCTGGCATCCACGTGGGTGCCAGGGGCTTATGAAGGGCCCTGTTTACCTTGCAGACTCCTTGGCCCGCAGTTACGGAGGACCTCAAGGAGTGTCTAAGGGGTAGCCCTGTTCTTGCGGTGCACCGCATGCAAGCCCGGCCATCTGCCTGGAACGCATCGCCATCTCCCCCCCCCCGCCTCACCGCGCCCACCGGCGCCCTGCCGACATACACTTGTGTGTGCCTGCGTGCGTGCCGGCCCCCCACCGCAGGGCAATCCACCACAACACGCTCTGCAAGTCATTCGATTCCTACCTGGCCACCGCCCTCCACAGCGCGCGGCCCCCAGGCGCCGCGCCCGGCGGCCAGCTGCTGCAGCAGGCGAGCCCCGCATGGGCGGGGGCAGCGGCCCCGACACCACTCCGACAACGCGGCAGACGCGTGTTTTCGGCAGCATTGTATAACAACCTCGCTTGGACGTGGCTCGCTTGGCGTATTCAACATCTTCAGCCTCTGCAGCGCGCTTTGAACCGCACGCGTGCCATGCATGCGTGTTGGTCTCAAACATGCTCAACTGCTCCCATTCATCTGACTGCCCTGAGCCTGCCCATGCAAACCACAGGTTGGCCCCGGCTGGTGCTCGCGCCCGGCCAGCGCCGACATTGCTGCCGCAACCGGCGCGGCTGGCACCGCCAACGGCACGATATGCGCCTGGGAGGCAGTCCTGATGCGCGACGTGGCGCTGATGGAGCCCGACGTGCAGAAGGCGGAAGGCGCGGGCGACGCGCCGGTCACGATCACTTACAAGTGCGTGCGCTTTCTGAGGGCACACGCGCGTGGCGCTTAGGCCAAATCCGGCCGTCAAGATCGGCTCTGCTCTGCTCGCATCCTCGTGTGTTGACTACTTTGTGTGCTGCAGCAGTGCACTGCAGCCAGCTGATGGGCGCGGTTGGCGGGGCCCCCATGCGCCCGGCAGGGCGCCTGCCTTTTGGCTGCCTCTCGTCCCTTCGTCTTGGCACGCTGGCGGCCCCAGCAGGCCTCATCCGACTCACAGAGCTCATTCTGCACCCGGGGCCGGGGCCTATAACAACCCTCCAAGCCACGTCTGCCGACCTGGAGTGCGCCCTGCGACGCTCCTCCGACCCTGAAACCCACCTGCCGCCCCCGCATGCGCACAGGGACTCGGTCCTGCTCTGCTCAGATCCCAAAATGCTGATGTCCGGCTGCCGCGGCGACGACAAGACGTGCGCCGCGCAGGCGTTTGCACTGATCAACCCCGACCGCCCCTACTACGAGGGGCTTGCGGCTGAGGCGGCGGCGCGGCACGAGAGGCAGCTTGCGGCGATCCTGGGATCAGTGCGTGAGTGGGATTCAGGGTTGAGCGTCCAGGATTCAGGATTCGGGGTTCAGAAACAGGTGTCAAGGGCATGGGGTGTCCTGTGAGGGTCCGGGATTCAAGGTTACACGTTCAGGTTTGAGGGCCAAGGATTGATCCCGCCGTCCTGGGCCTTGGTGCGTGGCCGCCGCTGGCCGCGAGTCGTCCTCGAGGGTGCAGGCTCGCCCAGGCGGCCGCGTTGCAAACATTTGGCACCTGGTTGCGGTGACCAGGCCCAGGTTGCTGCGGGTTGCCGCCGGTTGCTGCCGGGGTTGCGCGCACGCAACCCTGGCACCGTTGCCGTGACTAGGCGGCGGGTTGCGGCCGGCGCGGCCTCGGTCGATCGACGTGGCTCCCCTCGCTCACGCGCGACCGCTGCTGCGGGCCGCGTGCCCCCTCCCCTGCCGGCTGCAACGTCCGGCGAAAATTGCGTCCGACTCGTCGCACACCGAACGCAGCACCTGACCAGGCTCTCTTTGCCGTCCCACATCTTCAAGGTCGTCCTCTGACTCTTTTGCGCGCCCCCCGTCCCCCCTCCCCTGCTCACCCGCCCAGTCGGCTTCTTGGGACTGGTGGCCCTCGTCCTGGCACTCCTCCTAATCGCCCGCCACCGCCGCCGCGCCGCGTGGCGCCGCCTGGCGGTGGGCGCCGGCAAGGGTGATGTGGAGGAGCAGGCCGGGAAGGCCGCCGCGGGCGCTGCTGGCGGCGGCGGCGGGGGCGGCGGCCTCGCGGGAGCTCCCAGCGGAACGTGAGCTGTGCTGCTCGGCGCAAGCCCGCCAGGGCCACAGTGTGCATGCCTGGCACTCGATTTGTGGAGCGTTTGCAAGGCTGTCAATTTCGCATGCAATCTTGGATTTTCCCTTTGTGTGCCTTGGGCCCAGCCCTGACTGCGTGGCGCGCCGCCCCCTACCCGTGCGGCGCCCCAGGTTGACCCCCCAGGGCAGCGGCGCGAGCGCCGGCAGCGCGCGTGCTCTTGTCGGCCGCAGCGCCAGCTCGACGCGCCCGCTGCTGCGGCCGGACGGCATACAGCTCGGCCTGCTGCTGGGGGCGGGCGCGACTGGACGCGTCTATGCGGGTGCGTGTGCGCAGCCGCAGGAGGGCGGGCAGGTGCCATGTCAGCAAAAGGCCTTCCCCTCTGCCGCTGGCCGATCGATGCGCAAGCGGATCCGGGCAGGTGGCATGCTCACGCACTTATCACACAGGCGCGTGCCACACACACACACACACACACACACACACACACCTCACAATTGATTCTTCTCTGGCACACACATACATACACACGGACAAACACACACTTGCGCATGCACGCACACACGCACACACTCTTACCCGCGCCCACGTACACGAACAACATCCGCCTCTCACACATGCATACGGCCCCGTGCCTGCTCCTTGGTACCGGTCCAGGGCGCTGGAAAGGCGGCATGGTGGCCGTCAAGGTGTTGACCCACAGCAGCCTTGACGAGCCCATGATTGACCGCGAGCTGCGGCTCAGCATGACCTTTGACCACCCGGTACGTCCCACGTGCACACGTGTGCATGCATGCATGTGTGCGTGCGTGCGTGTTACTCTTGTTTGTTACGTGTGTTTGTGTGCGCGCATGTGTGCATGTGTGTGTGCGTGCGCACGTGCATGCATGTGTGTAACCACATACATGTGGCAGGCTCTGTGACCCCGTGTCACAATTGTCCCAACCCCAAATCACACATATGACAGAATGTGACATCAGCGCTGCACTACACCAAGACTAAGCTGGCCCACCCAGCAGGACCGGCGCCGAATTGGGTGAGCCTCATGGAACCAGCGATGGCGGCTGTCACGTATGCCTTGCTGCCCAGGCCATGCTGTCTGCATTTTTCAACTTGCCTATGGCGCCGCCACCTGGCACACAGGCCCGCACCAGCGCCGACGCTGTTTGGATGTGGCCCCCCTTGCGCTTGCCCTTTGGCTGCTCAGGGACCCAACTACAATGCTGCCTTTGGAATGCCAATCACACCAAGCCCGACTCTCGAGTCCCCCAGAGCCGCCGGCGCCGCCAGCGCGCCCGTCGGCGACGCGAGCGGCGGCCTCGCACCGCCATTATCCGGGCAAGGCGGCGCCGCCGCCGGCGACGGGGCCGCCGGCGCCGCGGCGCGCGGCGGGGGCGCGGTGGCGGTTTTTGCCGACCTGGACCTGCCGCACGACCTCAGTGTCGCGGAGGCGCGGCGGGTCGACACTGAGACGTGGATCATAATGGAGGTGCGGGTTACTGTGCTGACATCAGCGTTATGTCACGCTGATTGGGCCTGGCACAACTTGTTTCACTTTGGCACCTCTGAACTGCCCTTGAGCAAGTGCGGCCTGCTGCAGTCGGCTGCGACAGGTTTATGGCAGTTCGAAGGTCAGCGCCGGCGCCGGGCGACTTTGCGCTTTGCGACGGCTCTGCTGTTTGCCTGGTTTTCCGAGAGCGGGTGGGCCCTCTTTCAAGACCCCGCTCACGCCGCGCCCCTCACCTCGCACCTGTCACGCTTTTTAATTTGAATCGCGACAGCTGATGGACCAAGGGACCCTCGCAGGCGCAGTGCATGCCGGCCGCCTCTTGAGGCCGGTCCCCCACGGCGCCGACCCTGCTGCGCCGCGCCAGATCGAATGGGTGAGTGCACGGCCGGCTGCTCCTGCATGCAAAGCATCACACCCCGCACGCTCTGCGCCTGTTTATGGGAGCATCATGCATCGCCCATGCACACCTCAGCGTCGCAGCTGCCAATGCCTTGGATTACCGGTAAGATTTTGGCACCGCGCCGCACGCCACCGCCGCGGCCCCGGCCCACTACTGCCGGTCCCCCCTCCCCTCCCCTCCCACGGTGCGGCCCGCAGCGCGCGGTGCTGCTGCGTGCCCGCGACGCGGCGGCAGGCCTGGCCTACCTCCACAAGCGCGGGGTGGTGCATGCAGATGTGAAGGCAGACAACATCCTGCTGAAGACTGACCCTGACGACCCATTCATGCTCAGGTGTGTGTGCATGTGAGTGCTTGTGTGCGTGTGCGTGTGCGTGTGCGTGTGCGTGTGCGTGTGCGTGTGCGTGCGCGCATTGAAGGTGCGCGCGTGTGTGTGGGGGCTTGCATGTGTGTGTGTCTGTGTATTTGTTTGCCTGTGAACTGGGTCTGCCGAGGTTCATCGAGGTGCATACGTGTGTTGACTTCTCTTCCAAGTTTGCTTTACAGCCAGCACTTTGTGGGAGTTGGGGTGTTGGCGGCGCCCCCCCAGCTTGAAACCCCTGTCCACCAAAGTCAGAAAGGATGGGATATTCCAAAAGGTGTGCAAGTATGCACCCAGGTGTGTGGTAGCTAGGGGCCAGCTTTCAGCGGCACCTTCGTTCTTGTGCCTCTGCCACGCGGCGATCAATCTACAGCTCTGCAGCGCCGAGCAGCCGTGCCATCACAGCCACCACGATGGATGCTGACAATGGCTTTCCGCCCCTCGCCACCGCCGCTCCTGCAGGGGGAAGGTCGCCGATTTCGGTCTCAGCCGGTGGGTACGCCTCGCCTGAACGCCGCGCCCCCTTCCTCCCGCCCTTCGCCTCGTAGACGTGCAATCTGACGCAGCGTGGCCCACGCTACAAGACTGCTCGCGCTTGCCCCTATTGATACACAAACCGGCCTTGTATGACCATAGCGGCACACCGCGTGCACAGACTCCTAGCCTCCGGCCTCTCGCCCCTTGTCCGTGCCCGCGCGACAGCCCTCCGCCCTCCCACCAAGCGCGCGCGTGCCCTCGCAACAACCCCAGGGCACTGCTGGCCGGGCAGACCCACGAGACGACACGTCACTATGGGACGGTCACCTGCCAGCCGCCAGAGCTGCTGGGCCAAGGTGTGCTCAGCCCGGCTGGGGACGTGTACAGGTGCGTGCCTCGGACCAGGTGCGCTGGCGATTCTACTTTGCGCCCTGTCAGCAATGGCCGACACACACCCGAGCCCACGCCAGGAGCCAAAAGCGGGAGTTTGGTCATAATCGGCACGTTATTTGGTGCGACATGGGCGGCCCGGTCCTGACAGATCTTGAGTGGCGGATTGTTGCCCTGGCGCAACGCCTTTGTTTGAGCTGGAATCCTCCCGCAACCGCCTGCGACCGTCTGCGACTGCTCCACCCCTGCAGCATGGGGATCCTGCTCTGGTCTCTTGTGCACGCGGGGCAGCGGCCCTATGGGGAAATGCTGCATGGCGAGGTGCGCTTGGGCATGGGCGCCACACAAGCCGAGCCATCGCATTTTCCCTTCGCTGCTTGCGCAGCTCGAAATGCAGCCGCACCGCCGCTGTGGGGGCGGTCATGGGGGCCGTGGCTCATGCAACGCGGGGCACCTGACGACCAGCTCCACCTTTGGAAGGCTGTGGCGGACGCTCTCTGCTTGACCTCTGCACCATCTTGTCCCCCGCCTGCGACGCACACGGCTCAACCAACCTGTTTTCCGCCCGTTCCGCCGCGGGCCCCTCATGATGCAATGTGCAGATCATAACACGCGTCATCCACCAGGGGCTGCGGCCCCTGTTCAAGCCTGACACGTGGCCGCCCTACGTTGAGGTGGGCGCCCGGGCCCCCCGCTAGCAGTGAATTGTTGGTGCGAGCGCGGGCCGCACGGCCGGCGGAGGGGCCTCGAGCTCGGCCAAGCCGCCACGCGCTCAGGCCGAGGGCACGGGCGGCAGCGGCCAGCGCAGCCAGCAGCGAGGGGTCGACGGCAGGCGGCACGTGCGGCACTGACCGAAGTCTGCAGCACCGGTTGTTCAGGCACGTGCGGAACAGGCACGACTTCAGACGCCCAGCCCCATCCGGGTGCTGAAGTTTACCCCTGCCCTTATCGACACCCTTCGCAGCTGACCGAGGCGTGCTGGCAGCAGGAGCCCTCGAAGCGCCCCACAATGGACCAGCTCGTCGCCCTCATAGATGAGCTGATTTCGAGGGCGGCGGCTGAGGGTTTAGAGGCCTCGGAGGCAGGGGAACATTTTACGGCAGAAGGGCGCAGCTATGGCGACGGCGGGCTGGGCAGGAAGCACGTGCGGTTGCGGGGCGGAAACGTGCCGCCCGCGCTGCCGCCGCCGGCGCCGAGGCGCGGCGAGGCGTCCAGAAACGAGGGCAGCTGGAGCATGGGGCGCGGGGCTGGTGACGCCGACGACGATAGAGGCGGCTGCGAGGTCGCGGACAGGCCGGCAGCCGCGCGGCCGCCACCGCAGGGCGCTGCGGGCGCGCAGGCCGCCGCGCCGCAGCGGGTGTCGTGGCGCGTCAGGGTAGCCACAGGGGAGGGGCCGGCTTGACCTCTGGTGGGGGCAGGGGAGCAGCCGGGGGAGGTTTCCAGGCGGTACTATAACGGGAGGCTGCATCTACGTATCCTTCGCTTGCTGGGCATAAGGTATCGTTAGTGGGCAACACAGCAACAACGCCGCTGGCGGTCCAGCGAGCACGTGTGTCCGCCCAAATGAATGAACTTGTGCATCCTGCCAAAGCGCCGGCCGGCCATCCCCGCTGCGGGCAGCTCGTCGGTGCATGACTTATGACTTTGCGGCGTGCACGCCCGCCTCTGGCTTGCACGGCTTGGCCCGGCTTGGACACCGGTCGCTCGGCCAACATCGGTCGCATGCTTGTCCATTCCCCTAGATGAGACACCTTGATCTGACATTGGGCTCTGACATATGGCCTTGCATGGCTGCCATTTCACTCCGCTTGTCCTGCTAGGGTTCTTTTCTCGATGGGCGCCGGCATTGCATGCGCCGCCCCTTGCAGCGCCTCAACCTACTTGGGCCTTCCGTCCGTGGAAATTCAGGATTGTGGTTTAAGGTTTTGTGCTATGGACGGTTTTGCTTTGTACCGGCTGCCGCCGCACCTAGTTGTATAGCTCGGAGTCTCCTTTCAACAAAGACTGATTTTTGGCAATTTTAGACCATTCGTCATCACCCGCCACTCCTGACGACACCGCCGGCAACCAGGTCTTCCGGCGATCTCAGGTGCACCGTTGCCACATCCCGCGTTGCGCTGCTGCACTTAGCTTTCGCACGCCAGTTGACCTGCCATCGACGGCACGCTCTACGCTTCCTTGGTTTGATGCAATGATGATACAATTGAGCTTGCACTTTGACCTGAATCGACTGCGGGGCCTTCATGCCGCAGAGGGTGTGAAGTGACACATCCAGCACCTTGGATCCGTGCCACTGCATACGTGGCCCACACAGCCACATTTGTGTAACCAACCGATTTGTCTTCCCAACCACATGCAAAACCTCTCCAAGAAATAGCAGATTACAATCATGGCAGCCCGCTCCGCAGCTGCACACGCCTTCAGCTCAGGCTGTTTATATATGGCAGCCCAGACCGAGGCTCAATCCCAAAATGGGCGACTAGCGGTCACGGCTCAGATCCTCGTCAAGCTGCTGCACGTCAACCTGGTAGTGTCGTGTCGCTCAGTTGTGACATCACCAGATGTCATGACTGACACGGCGATGTCGGCCTGACATCACCATCAGGCCGACATCTCGACAATCATCTCCTCAAAGTCTTTGTTGTTGATCGTGCGCGACACGCGACTGAAAAAGGCCAGGAATTGCGGCAGGCCAACCAGGTGGTCCTGCCCGGGCTTGAAGTCCCTGCGGGGTGGTGCGGGTGCAGGGGCGGCAACACGGGTCAGCGCCGTGTTTGCTCATCTGCTGCCCACCCTCCTGCATGCAGCGACGGTGGAGCCGTACGCAGCTGCAGTTCTGCGCTAATATACTCTTATGGTTGCACCCGCGTTTGCAAGCCCTGATTGCACGTGTTTGGCGGGCTGGTTGTCACGGGGATGGATCTCACTTGAAGATGGTCTTGAGGTCGGCATTCGTGAGGGTGTCCCCGCCGTGGCTGTTTGCGTACGCCTGCGGCACCAAGGCGGTGCACGATACACGGGTGAGGCGGCAGTGGGGTCTGGCAGTGGACTGCTGTGTGCGTGGCCCACGGGCCTCCCCCCGCCCCAGGTACTGAGGTACATGTGTAATCGGTCCCGTTGTGTTCGTACGCATTTGATTGGAATTCGTTAGGTACATAATATACATGCAACCCAGCCAAGTGCTCACTTTGACGGCCACCTCAGCAGCGTTCATGCATCTTCAACGCTCGTCCTAGCCAGCCGGCCCAAGACAACCGACAAGTTGTCGCACTGCACCGCACCTGCAACGCCCGCAGCGACATTCTGCCGGTCCCCGCCTTGTCTATGATGCGGAACACCTTCTCCAGCTTGGACTGGCGGTGCTTGGGCAGCCCAGTCTCGGGGCTCTGCGCGGCCCGATGGGGGGTGCACGTGCCGCCATCTGCTGTCCATTCGGGACGGCTGCGAAGCGCTGATTGACCACATGCATGACAAGCTTTTTCCCACGCCCTGTATCAGCGCAGCTGTGATGTAGCAGAGTGCACGGTGCCATTGAATGTGCCGGTTTGTCTGCCCTGGAATGTCGGTGCACCGGCGCGCCTACCTGCTCTGCCTGCTCTGGGCCGAGGGTGAGGCTGTCTATCATGAACTGCACGGGGTCTGCCGGCATGGTCCGCGCTATGTCCGCGAGCAGGCCGCTGAACAGCGGCCCGACGCCGTGCTGCTCCTGATGAGGCGTCGGCGAGGGCCCGCGGCCGTTTGCGGCGCGACCAGGGTGGGCCGGAGCGGGCGGGCCACGCGCTGCCCTGCTGCCTGTACATGGGGTGCACGACGGCACGCACACTGCCACGCAACCAAGGCCAGCCAGCACGCGCACCAGATACGCCTGGTCCTGTTCGTACAGCTTGCCATCGGGCATGGGGTCTAGACGGTCAACGTCACGCCCCATATCGGGTAGGTGCTACTGCAGCGGCAACGGCAGCGGCGATGCGCAGCTGCTGCCTGCGCCGAGTCAACGCACTGCAAATGAACTCGTGTCTCAGGCTCTCAACACTCGGCGTGGATGCCTTGACGCTTTTACGCCGACAGATTTTTGACGGTCAGCAGTGCAGGTAATGAGTACATCAGCTGGCGCAAATTTTCTCAAGCGTCAAGATCACAAAACGGGCGAATCAAGGCGTCAAAGCCGTTGATCAACAAAGAGATAACAAAACAAGATATGTGTCCCTTGTCATGCCTCCGAAACATCATACACACATGGTACTGTACACATGTGCTCATGTGGGATGCCCGGCTGAAATCCAGCTGAGGCCTTGAATTGCGGTCATTGACACAACACATGTACAGGAGATCATACAGGCATGCCGGATCACGACATGGAATCAACACTGCGAGAAGTGACTCACCAACCCTCCCACCCCGGCATCATTCGCAGCCCAAACTGCGCTCAGTGCTGCTGCTGCAATTGCATCACCGACAAATGGCTGAAGCGCAACACCAAGCGACACACGTGCCTTGCCTCCCCAAAGATTGTCCCCAAAATGTGCCGTGTTGCGCCCTCAGCGGCAGCGGTTTTCCCGTGAGTCTAGGCTGTGCGTCAGCGCAGTACTTTGTCAATGCCTGCGAGACAGACTGCAGGACCGCAGAGCTCACGTCCAGCGTCATCCCGGCAGAAGTGGACACAATGGAAGAGGTCGTCCGGCGTTCTTCCTGTTGCTTTTTGTGCTGGCGTTCCTGTGGCTCGTATGTGGTCTCCCAGGATGTCGCTGCAGTGCCGTCGTACCTGCCGCTGGAGCAGTTTGCTGTTCCAACACCATATGGTTGTCTTCACTTGTGTGATAACCTGGCTAAAATCACAAACCCCACAAACAACACAACGTGTGGGCATGCGACTTCGGCGCCTGCTTGCTTGTGGGTGGTGATGAGACAGCATTCAGTTATGATACATACCGTGTATGTGATGATGCAGTCACGGCACAGCGGCACAGGATACGTTGGTGCGGCGCTGACCTTGAATAGAGCTGTCGATGGCGCTGTGCACCAGCGCATATGGGGCTCGTCTTGGAACTGCAGCAAAGGACTGCCGGAGGCGGCGGAGGGGGGGGGGGAGGCGCATGTGATGCGCACGAAGGTGACCGCAAGCCAGGTTGATCATACGCTCATGTGATGCGTATTTGGCTGATACCTGTTTACCAGGATTCTCGTTGCTTACTGCGGCTTAACTCCTCCGCCGAGATCGCTTCCGTGATCACACGCGGCCCTCGCGGGGATCGTGCTGAGTTTAGCCTTAGTACAGGCATTGACCGGCTCACCACCCTGGTAAGGCAAAACTCATGCGAACCCGGGCCCTCTCGTTGCCCCTCGCAACTGCACACCGCTGCCCACTTTGCATGCTTGCGCGTTCGCATCGTATGCGAGGAATCTAGTGTCATGTTGTTTGCACTCCCTGATGCCAGCCTGTTGCGCACGCTCTCGCCTTCCCGCCTGCGCCAGGGCGCCACCAGGACTTGCAGCACACACCGCGCATGCGTTGGAGTAGCAGCGATGGCCAACATCAAGGGATTGAGTGATTTCCAGGACAAAGACAGCGATAGTGAGAACGGCGACTTTAACGACTACTACGCCGGCGGCGAGAAGAGGTGCGTGCTCCTGTGCCGTGCCAGTCACAGACCACGCCTCGACTGTCGCCACTGATTGCGTGCACTGGCATCCAGCAGCAATGCAGCGGCTTTTGCAGGCGCAGCAGGGCGACCCCCTCTGATGTTGTTGGGAACCTGCGTGGCGGTCCATGCGCGCGTTGAGTCCCGCGCTGGCTGACTGCCATCGCTGCCCTTCGTCCGCTCGTGCAGCGGCCAGCTCATCCGCGGCGCGCCGGACGAGGTGCGCCCTTGCATGGCTGGGTCGTTTTACATATCGGAATCGTCACAGCTTGTGATGTGCTTTCTCATGTATGTCATCTCGCAGCAGCGGCGGCAGCAGCGGCAGCTGATGCAGGGCTGCGACCAGAGCAGCAAAAGCATGACAGCAATTGTAGCCAAGCAGCGGCGAGAACAGCAACAGCACTGACAGCAATTGGCGCAAGCAGCGGCGGCGGGGGCCAGGAACAGCAGCAGCAGCAGCAGCAGCAGCAACCAAAATGGGTCCACCACCCAGAGCACCGGCAGCTGGCACTGGCGCTGTCAGTGAGGCTCTCTGCGGGCATCCTTCCCCACACCTGCATCCATCAACAAGCAGCCCCCTTGCCTGCACCAAATCGACACTAACAGAAGAAGAAGGCAGACAAGGGCGACAAGGGCAAAGGTGCAGTGGAGAGCCTGTTCGAGCGCGCCAAGGAGCTGCCAGGCGCAGAACGCGGCACGGGCGACCTGCCCTCCACCTCTGGAAGCTTCGGCGGCCAGGGCCGGACCGTCGCGGGCGGCGCCGCGCAGGTGGGCGGCCCTGGGGCGCATGGCGCGCGCACGACCGCCCGGCCGCCTGCTTCACTCGTACTAGCGCAGCAAAGCCCCCGCCGGGCTGCGCCCAGCAGCCTCGCGTCCACATACAGTCTGTAGCGCCTGTAAATGTCACCGCAATGAGCTGCTGCGCCTGGCGACGAGCAGCTGCGCTCGCGGCGTCTCCGTGGTTGGCCCCTCGGCGCCATCCCTTGCCCCTGCCGTCCCCCACACACCCTGATCCGCCCCTGCACCCCGCCCACCCCTCCTGCAATCGCAGCCCGCGGGCCCCACGGCCCACGTGGTCAAGTTTTACCGCAACAATGTGTTTACGCTGAACGACGGCCCCGCGCGTGCGATAGACGACCCCGCCAACCAGGACTTTATGGATGCTGTGGCCAGGTGGGTTTTCCTTCCGTTGTTCTTTACCCGTTATGCTTTGAGGGTGGGGGTGGTGGGGAGGTGGAGCCCAGGGCAGTGGGCCCCCGCTGCGAACGGTCGCGTGGGGCTGTTGACGCGCCGCGCCCTGCTGGCGGTGTCTGGAGCATTGCAGTGGGCGGCGGAGCAGGCCGGGGTGCGTCAGGCTTGCATGTCGGCGGGCAACCAAGGGGCAATCCCGCAGCAGGCTGAAGGGGCACAGATGCCACCTACTCACAGCTGCCGACCCAGGCCGGCGAGGGGGCCGCAGGCTCCACGTTTTGCGCCTTGACGCGCCACCTTTGAACCCTCCTCGCCTCTGCCAGGGGCGAGTGCCCGTCCGAGATCGACCCCGGGCCGAGCGCCGAGCCCGTGACCGTCAACCTGCTGCGTGTCGAGGAGGATTATGTACCGCCAAAGTGGGTGCTCGGGGCACCCGGGCCGCCATTGGCTGAGCATTTTGCGGCTGACGGCAACTGCAGGGCAGCCATGGTTGACGGCGTGCTATGGCCATGCGCCGGCGCGGGGGTCGCGGGCGCTCTGGGCAGCCGCTGGCCACCGCTGCGCCTGGTTGGGCATCCACGCATACCCTCTCGCACGCACGCATAGACGCACATGAAGTTGCAACTTCTTACGCTGCCACCCTTACTTCAATCCTGCCACCCCTTTGATTCTGATCCAGGTACGTTGCCTTCTCCGGCTCTGGCCGCACCCTGGCCGCCGGCCCCTCCACCTCCGCCGCCCCCGCCCCCGCCGCGCCCGCCGGCGAGTGGGAGGGCGTGGACGAGTCCAAGCCCACCACCTCCCTGCAGCTGCGCCTTTATGACGGCGAGCGCATGGTGGCGCGCTTCAACCACACGCACACCCTGGCTGATGTCCGCCGCTTCATCCGCGCATCGCGGCCCGACATGTCGGCGCCCTACACGCTGAACACCGCGTTCCCGCCGGCGCCGGTCAAGGACGAGGGCGCGACGCTGGAGGCGGCGGGGCTGCTCAACGCGGTGCTGATCCAGCGCAAGGCGTGAGGGCGGGGGCGGATGCCGGCTGCCCCTGGCTGGGCGCACTGGGCGCGTCAAGACGCGAGCTGCTCTGGCCTTTACGCGGTGGCGCGATGGGCGCAGCTGGGTGCTCAGAGAGCAAGGTTGTCCATGAAGCTTTTTTCCTCAGCGCCGTTCTTGGCTTCTGTCGCATTCGCACCGTTGCGGCTGTGTTCTCACTCCCAGTGGGGCCGACATGCCAAGTAAAGCCCACACTACCTTATTTGGTTGGCTAATGATGCGTTTGGGGAGGGAATAGGCTCAGACGGCGCCTGGAGAGCGGGCGAGCCCTGATAGATAAGCCCAGACACCAGCTGAGCGTGAACTGGGGGAAGCTGCACCAGCCTTCTGCAGCCCATGCAGCTTGGAAACTTTTCAAATCACCCAGAATGTTGTGCCTGGAGTTACATTTGAATGGCCGGTCCGCCCTTCCAGGACTAGAGCGGCAGGCGGCTCCTATACTACGAAATGCCCTCCCGGTGAAAAGCCCCACCCCAGAGCAGGGGCCTGCCGGCACCAAGCCGCAAAGCCTCGTGCCGCAGAGCCCCGCCCGCCGCTGCTGAGCTACCTGTCGTGACACGTATATCAGCCGCAGGCGCCGGCCACTGCATGAGCGCTCAACGCTCAAGCTTCACAATTGAAGACGCTTGTAGCCGTTTTGACCTTGAAAGCCGCGCAAATGCAGCAGTCGGCAGCCGCGCCAGGCTGCACGCCACGCCGTCACAGATTTGGCCGCTTGGGCCGCGTCCAGATCGGCCAGATCAGAGCTCCACCTTGGGCATGACGATCTTGACGTTGTCGGGCTGGATGACGTAAGCCTTCTTCAGCAGGTTGCGCACCGTGTCGCTGGGCTGCGCGCCGGTGGAGAGCCACTGCTTGATCGCGGGCGCGTTCAGGTTGGTCTCCTTCTTCAGGGGGTCGTACCTGCAAATACCACAGGATATTAATTTCGGTAAGGTGCAGCAATAGAGGGGAGGGGTCAGGAAGGGTGGGCGTGGCACACGCTGTCGGGGCGGTGCCGGCGGCGGCTCGCAACAAACGCGCGCATCGGGGGTCCGCACTAACACTGCTGCAGGGTGTGGCGCGGGGCGCACGACGCCGCGGGCGGGCTGGGCGTGGGCGCTGCACAGCCGCGGGCAGGCCTCTGCATTAGAACGTGCGCCACCCGCCAGCATGACCCGCCAGAACGCACCAGCCGAGGTACTCCAGGGGGCGGCCGTCGCGGCGCGTGCGGCTGTCAATGGCAACCAGGCGGTAGAAGGGCGACTTCTTGCGGCCAAACCGCTGGAAGCGGATGGCCACTGCAGGGCGCGTGCGGGACGGGCGGGCAGCAGAACCGCGGCGTGTGTGGTGCAGGAATGCTTGAAGGCACGCTGGTCGTTCCGCAAGGTGCAATGGGACCCAGGGTCGTGCGGTGGCGGCGAGGCGGCGGCGGCAGCGCATGCAGACTGCGCTGCGCCGCGGACAAGCAGCCACCCTGCTGTCGGCGCCGCAAGCAGCTGCGTAGATTCGCGCGTGACTTATACGATGCAAACAAGCCCATGCTGCCCCCATCTGGACGACCGCTGCCACATCGCACGCCTGGCCACCACTGCTCGCCGCAGACAGGCCCACGCATTCGTGAATGTGATAGCCAGTCATGCTGATGCCAATGCGATGATTCGTTTTCGAGAGTCTATGGCGCAGGTCTCATCCTGGCTGCTCACCACGAGCCTCCACCATCACGGTCGCTGCCCGCTGCACGCGAGGCGCCACCGCGCTGCTCTGGAAGGGCCTAGTGCCATTGAAGGTCCTCGAGCCTAGGGCCTGCATGGTGCCCGCTTGCTGCTGCTGCAGTGGTGACCGGTTCTTGCTGCAGTCCTCTGCGTGAAGCTTGCGCGGCGCGTTCACGGCTTGTAGAGTCTGGATATGACTTGCAAGAAGACAATGGGCGTCGCACACCGAGTGTACAGGCTTGTGCTTTCGACAGGAGTTGTGCAGTCAAATGTTGTCTTGACACGACCACACAGTGTGCGCCTATGTATGGGATGTATTTTAGTTTAGAGGGTGAAATTTCGTCTTGCATGCCGGTCACGTGCAGCGGTCAGCTCGCCAGTGTACATTGACTGGTCGCGGTGCACCTCGGCGGCCGTCGGTGACGCTCATCACACGATTGTGCATGTATGCCATTGGCTGGCACGCCATGATTGAAAGGTCTATATGGATTTCTCTGTGGCCACACTGCACCTTAGCTTTCGTGTTGATTGGCTATTGTGCAGCGCCACAGCCCGGGCACGCCGCCACGGTGCTGCTCTTGGACGCGAGCAATTTGCCTGAATCATGAGCCTTCTGCCAGTTCAGTCTCCCTCGTTTTCTGCTGGATGCCTTGTTGGCTCTGATTGGGCTGCTGCTGCTGCCGCCGGCTGGTTCTGACCCATTCAGTTGGACTGCACGAGTCAAACACGTAAGCAAAGCTGCAGCGGTAACAATTTGTAGTCAAGTCAACTCTTTTCTCAGAGCCCCAAGCAATAGATGTCAAGCGCGCATATGACATCATCCCGAGATCTCCGCAGTCGCCTGCAGGCCGCCTAGCGACAGCTGCACGCTCGCGGCCTCCTCCACGCTGTCGCCCTCGAGGTCGGCAAGCACCTCAAATGGCGCCACCTGGTTGAACCCGTCCTCCCATGCAATCTTCGTGCCAAACAGGGTGGGCGGGGGAGGGGGGGAGACGACACGAGAGCGGTCAGGCGACACGTGCATGAGTGTCAGGGGCAGGGAGGACGACGTGTTCAGCGCGCGCGCCTGGGAGACGGCCGGCTCAAGGGGACAGCTCTTCTTAGCAGCGATTGCTCAGCGTGGCCGTGCAGCTCACCGCCAGCCTACCCTGTGGCGACGTGCCCACCCCCAACACACGAACCCAAAGGCCGAGACAGTGGCCCTCAAAGCACCCTGCTCCATTGCCAACCAAACCAACACACACCTGCACGGCGTAGTTGCCGACCGGCGCCACGCCCGCCGGCCGCACCCCCTCCGGCGCCGCCGCCGGCCCCAGCCGCTCCCCCGTCCACTCGTCGATCGCCGCCGCGGACGTGTCGGCCGCGCGCACGGCCGACGGCCGCACCGCGAACGCGTCGCGGCCGGCCAGCTTGATGACAAGGACGTCGCGTGACTCGTCGTAGTGCACCGTGTTGCGGGCGGCCGCGCTGTTCTTGGCCACCTCACGCACAACTGCGGCGCCGAGCTCCATGAAGGCCGATCCGACCGCCCCAGTCGGGTCTGAGACGACCAAGGGGGTGCCGCCTGCATTGTGCGGCGGGTGCGTGACGAGCGTCAGGGTGCTGTGTGTATAGGATTGGGACGGACTGCAGGGGCAAGGGACAGGGCGGGTGCTGCTGGTAGTGCGGCTGCATGCGCCAAGTACCTGACACACCCGATTGTTGCCACCAAAACAGGGGTCATGCCGTCGCGTTGCCGCAGCACTGGCTCCCCCATCCTCGGCGCCACCCGCGCCTGAAGCGTGGGTGACCCTCGCCCGCGGTGCCGCCCACCGTCGCCCGCCGCGGAGAGGTCTGGCATAATGGGGAACCTCACAAGGTTGGGCACACCAAAGTCGCGCTGGATGCGCTCGCCGCTGCCCGCGCCAAACGGCAAGTACCTACGGGACATATCAAAAAAGTTGCTTCGATTTGCATAAAATCACACGCAAGGGGTGCGCGGACACAACCCTGAGCAAGCCCATGCTTCAGTTAGGTCCACAACGACGGCGCGCTGGTTGCTGGCAAGGCGACGAGCGAGGCGGCGCATGCGTCAAGGGGGCTGCGTGCTGCCTACCGCTTGCCGTCGTCGCCGTCAAAGTATGCCATGTTCTCCACCACCGCCACGCAGGGGACCTGCAGCTTGGCAAACATGCGGATGCCTGCAGGGGCGCGGGAAGGGCGATAGAGTCATGTCCAGAGGCATTCGAATGCCAATGAGGGGTAGAGAGGAGCCACTTCTGGGTGGACCAGCCTGCAAGGCAGCCTTCAAAAGCAGGGGCGCCGGCAGCAAACCATGTGCTGACTGTGTGTGCT